ATATGTGAACAATAAGTGGCATGGACAGGTTCTTCTGCTTTAAAAATTTAAAGTTAGAGTTAGGCGTGGTGACACATGCCTATAATTCAGGTTTCTGGAGGCTGAAGCAGGAGGACTACCAGTTCAAAGCCAGCCTCAGCAAGTTAGCAAGACTCTTATCTAAGGCCAATTATGTGATTGTAGTGCCTATCCTTTTCTGAAGCTGAATCTTCAGCTTTCCTAGAAATTCTATTGCTTTTAAATCATCCAATCAATTTCAGTTACTTAAAACCAAGAACTATGATTGATATGACATACAGATAGGCTTCAGGGGGTCCATGAACTATGTACCAACATTTAAGACACACAGAATATTTTTGGGGAAGAGCTTACATCAGATTCTCATGAGAGTCCACGGTTTGATGGGGGGCACATATGTGAGAAGGGAGACAAGGCAATATATTCTTCCCAGATACAAGAACTATTATAGTTGAACTTTGCTATTTCTGGAAACAAATTTAATTTTCACATGAAAATGTAAAGAATATAAATTTAAGACTGAACAAAATTAATAGACTGGATCAAACAATGAGATCCAGAGTCAACATAAAAGAGGCCAAGAAAAAAAGCAGCCTTTTAAGAAATGTGACATTATGAACATAACCCTGTTGGGAAAAGAGGACACCTAAGTGCCTTCAAGATAAGGCCACGAGAAGCAAATCGGTTGACCAAGGAATAGAAGAGTTCCAGATATCTAGAGTTGAAAGACAGGAAAGCAATATGTAAGATGGGTCAAAGGGTGTGGATTCAGAGTTGTGGCTGGGTCAAAAGACTGTACCTGTAACCCAGCCAGGCTTCACATTCTCAAGAGGCAGATGAAGAATTAGCTGGGGAAAGAAGGTGAAAATGGTTAGAATGAATAATGAGGTATATGTTAATCCAATTTGAACTCTATGATTAGTGAACAACAGTCACACAGAAATGACTTGTTTGTATGTAAGTAACAGAGCATTTGGTTAAAAAATACAGAAAAGAATCTATTCCCAAGTGATCAAGGTCAGGATCTACAGTGATAAATCAAGTTACTTTATTTCTCTAGTAGTCTTAGCCAGAACCCATAAGCCCAGTCTAATCATGAGAAAACCATCAGACAAATCCCAATTGAGTAAGACATTCTACAAAACACCTGACCAGAACTCCCAAAACTGCCACAGTCATCAAAAACAAGGAAAGTCTGCCAAACTATCACAACTAATAGGAGCCAAAGGAGACATTGTGACTTAATATATTGGTAGTATTTGGGAAAAGATCCTGGAACAGAAAAAGGGCACTAGGTAGGAAACTAAGGAAATCTATGGGACTTTAGTTAAATAATAAATATATCAACATTGACTAAATAATAGAAACTGATATACCATATTAATGTAAGATATAAAAATAAGGAAAAGTGGGTTTGGGTATATAGAAACTCACTGTACTATGTTTGCAAATTTTCTATAAATCTTAAACTGTTCTAAAAATACTTTATTTTTAAAAATACAGCCATTTTACTTACTAACCTTGAGCAAGTTACTTAGCCTTTCTGTGCCTTAACTGTCTCATCTGTAAAATCAGAATTAGGTTGAGAGCAGTAACAACTAAAAATTGTGTTAATATATTAAAGTGCCCTGAACTTCCTATGTGCCTCACAGGAAGCACACAGTATTAGCTTTGATTACTTCTGAATATTCTTAAAGGGCAATAACATTTTATGCACACTAAAAGTAGCCCAAAATTCATAATAACTTCATAAGCAAAATGTGAAATAATGAAATTTCCCCAATTTAAAAGATGTCAAAAATTACATAATTTTAATGTGAGTAAATTAAGTAATGTGCAAACTGTCTTTATATATGGTCATGTGGTGGGCCACCATAAAAATCTTCCTATCTCTGGAAAGAATTTGTCTGGAATTATGGTCTTAGGAACCTATTGTTCAAAAAAAAAAAAAAAGTGGTTCTGTTATTTAGAATCTAAAATTTCTCGTGATATAAAAAAACAAGATTTATATTTAAATAACAAAGTAATGACTTAGATGCTCCCATGGAGAAGTGATGGCTAGGTTACAGACCCAAGATCAAAGTTTAAAAATGTGAGAATATTTTAAACCACTCAGATGGATGGCAGCAGATTACCAGAAGTCTAATGCTCAGACAGATATTTATTGTGACTAGAATATAGCTGACAAAACATATTACCTCCTATGATGCCTCTTAATTCCTGCCTTAAATGGTCCAGATCCACTGAGGGAATTGTGATTCTGGGTATGTAAAATCACTCAGCTACTTTCCTTTTCTCTAATTACTCAAAATTTCAGTTTAAGTTCTGGGAGCTATGTAAACATTATGACTGCTAAAAGAAGAAATTAGAAAATCAAATGTATTTCCCATTATAGCTTTAATATTTTAAGATATCAATCTATAATATGGTCAAATGTTTTAATACATTTCACTATTTACAAATATTTAAAAAAATTATTTCCAAGTTATATACAAAAATTTGATGAATGCCATTGAAACTTCTTTTGATGTTAACAGTGACAGCCTTTGACTTGTTTACAGTAGAAGGAAAATCACTTAGAGAAGTCTGACTGCTCACTTAATCAAAAAGCTGAGGACAAATAAATGTATCTTTATGTAAAGGTCAAAGACTTAGAGCTAGAGGACTGAGGGAAGATATAAGAATTATATGTATTTAATCTAGGGAAAAAAAAGAGAGAGAGAGAAAGAGGTGCATGTATACACACAGAAGACATTCTAAAATATAAAATTTTTCCTGTTTTGCAATAAGATGTTAAGAGTGAAATTTCAAACCATCAGGTATATAAAATTACTTTGACATATTCCCCTTATATCTAGAAACCAAAGATGCTTTCAGTTCATTTTATTTTTGAAATAATATTTTAGGAAAAATTTGGTCTCTGAAGATGTGAACTGTCTACTCTCATCTTACTCGGATCAATTTTCTTGATTACCATTTTTTAAATAAGTGTTTTAGAGGGCTGGGGATGTGGCTCAAGTGGTAGCGCGCTTGCCTGGCATGCGTGAGGCACTTGGTTCGATCCTTAGCACTACACAAAAATAAAATGAAGATATTAAAAAAAAGATGAAAGGACAATACTTTAAAAAATAAAAAATAAATGTTTTAGACTTTTTTAAATGCCACTTTATTTTATAGCTCTTGTAAATAAAAATATCAATTTTAAATTCTTGAAGAATGCTCATAGCAATCTCTTAGTTTTTTTTCTTTCATAATGAACAGCTCACCAAGATATTTCAGTATGCATACCAAAGAAAGATTAAATTTTAGTAATCATTCGATATGCAAACTATCTTTGTTGTAAGGAAGTAAACAATAGCAACTAATGTGTGTACAATCTTTCCAAGATTATACATGAATATGAGTTTTTTTTTCACATTATAATTTATCCAGCTAGGAGATACATGTTAAGAGTTTTACAATCTATGCTGGCAAAGAGGTGAATGCTTCATATTTTCTAATTTTGTTTAAATATTCTTGACATATTGATTTTCAAATGAAATGGTGATTAATCTTTAGCTTCCCACAAAAATGAAAAACCATGAACCTTTTATTATATAAGTTATTCTCTTTAGGGCAACAAGTCTCCAAAGATAATACAAAACAATGAAATCACATTAGCTCAACTGATCTCCATATTAAAAATATTAGTGGCTCCTATTCCTTTAAGATAATGAAAATTTACAAATTAATTTAAAACATTGTGAATCAGATACACTATTTACCAGTGTAAAGCTATCCCTCCCCTCCATTACTCAAATGATTACAGATGACTGTCTATATCTTTCATCACTTCAACACCACAGTTCAAAATTCCATGTTCTGAAGGTTAGAAGAGGAAAAGGTGGTGAATATCCCCAAATAAGAGATACCTGAATATCTGATTCATTTTATCTCAATCCCTTATGATGCTTACATTAATCATAACTAACAAGCGAATTTTAAGTATAGTCAAAACATGCAAAGAAATTTTAAAAGAAAAAATAAAGAATTAAACCAGCTAAATCACAAACATCAGTACCTTTTAATATTTAGGAATATTTTTGAGTGAAGGTGAATCAGAAAGATGACTTTCATGCTCTAACTTGTTATATGATCTGTTATAGTGGTTTAAACTGATTAATAAGAAAATCTATTTCAAAGATAAAGCCAAATTCCAAGGATGAAGATGTATAAAGTCATTATGAAATTATCAATTTTTATTTATTTATTTTTCTTCCAACTTATTCCCCTTCTTTTTGACCCCTTTTTACCAGCTGACCACATCTGGCCCCTCTATGTTCCCTTAAACTCTCCTGAAAAGATGTCCTTCATTTCCCTAAAAACACAAATGTCAGTCAAAGTGAAGATAACTGGAATTAGTAGCTGTCATCTTAGAAAGAGACATGTTACTTAGTATTCTCTGTATTAGTCTGAGAGCTGCAACATAGATAGGACAAAGAGAAATAACCATAGAAAAATAGTATTGACAATTAAAATGGTGTCAAAAATAGGCAATTATAAGTGTATCTCTTTGTAAAACCTTTCATTTTCATTAAATTCAAATTTGACTCTACAACCTATTATAAACTAAAATGTCACAAAATTTTATACAATAGAAATGTCTTCTCTAGTTTTGCTATGAATATAGAAGGTAAATGAAGGAACAAACCGCCTGTCAATGATGCATAAAACTGGTACTGTATTTTCAAAGCAGAGCCAGATCTATATATAGAACACAAGATATTTCAAAATGAATGTTATATGTTTATCTTTATAATTTTACAAAATTGTTAAAACATTGTTTTAAATCCTAGCAAAAAGTACATGTTCATACCAATATACTATATATGTATGAGGATATACAAATAATCAAGTTTTAAAATAAAAATGCTAAATTATTTTAAAACATTATAGAGAATATACCCCCACACCCCATTTCTAACAGTAAGAAAATAATCAACCTGCATGAACTGGAATCAGATTCATTTTCTTCTTCACTAGTGCCATCATCCACTTCTGGTCTATCCAGCCAATGTGCACCGCCACAATCTTCTGTTGTAAACTCAAATGCAGGGACTTCGGAGGTGGATGCCATTGGCCAAGAAGGTGAATTCTGAAAATCCAGTTGGCTGGACCTTCGGTAACCAATTGAAGCCAAAGGCAATTGTAGGCTACATGGATCTAAAAACTTTCTCCCACCGTTTGCTCCAGTCTGTCCTCGATTCCAAAATTCTCCCTGCTGGCTGTCAACTGTAGAATTAGGAGATGATGCTTGATGGCCAAACCACCTCCATCTGATTTTCAAAATCTGTTTCACATCAAACTCTTTACGAGAACCAGACATCCTCAGAGAAACCAAGTGATCGTCTAGGCAACGGGCAAAAAGCACTGCACACAGATTTGTGCATCCAACCAAGATAAGAGAAGTATATGCCCTGCTGTACACAACAAACAGATTTAAGAGAATATAAATTACATGCATATATATATATATATCTACATTTACTTTTATGCCAATATATCAGATTATAAAGAACAAAGGATAATGCATAAAGATGAAACCCGGTGGAACATTCCGTTCAATCAGAGCAAACTCTCATCCGCCTATCCTGAAGCAGCAAGACCACTTTCCCTGCTCTCCCTTCCCATACTGGCCATTAGCTCTCACAAACACTGACAGCATTCATTAAAGTCCTTTCAAATGCAGAACACCACCCCCTTTTCTTAAACCACAAATGACAGAGACAGAAAGCACTATCCCAGTGCAGTATCTCAGTCTTTACTGCTTAGTATATTAACTCTTTTATTGCTGAAACAAGAAATGTATTCCAGAGCGTTTTTCTTTGTACTTAAAAAAAAAAATCACTATACAACCAAAATGTTTCTATTTTTAAACCAAGTTCCTAGGTAAGACATCACAAAATAAGTTTTTTAAAAAGCATTTTTAATTAGATGAGTTGCGGTGATTTTCAAACTGCTCTATGGATAAGGGGTAAGAAGGAAACAGTGCAAAGGTTGAGTTCTAGATTGTTACCTTCCTCCCTTCAAAAGGGAGGATAGCTAATTAATGTAGTAAGATCTTGGAAGATTTCACTTAAAGAATAATGAAAAGAATTAGGAGAAAAAGTTTGAAAACCACAAAGGATCAAAATTTGACAGTACTTACTCTTTTTCAAATAAATAACCTGAAGCCAATATTTTCCTATAATCATGATAGAACCACTTCCATTTAGCATAATATTCAAATTTATATGATACTGCTTAGGAAAAGAAAGTGTCACCCTACAAAGCAACGAAGGACTGGGAAAGGGCTATTCCTTGGTGTACAAGTATCCTAATGGTGCCCTCTGTTGTTGGCAAAACAAAGCAATGGTGTGAACACGGGTACAGTTAAGGAAAACTGATAAAGCAAATTAAAAAACCATCAAGTTTTTAAGATATAGAGTACTAATTGTGAGCAATGCATTGTACAAGGCATTATAAGGGAAACGGTTGGTTTCTAAACCTCAAATAAAAAAATCTTTTTATTAAAACAAAAAGTATTTGACAAATTAAAATATGAAACATTATAATGCAGCAGTAATAAATTTTATGATCTATAAATGCAGAATTCCAGTTTTTAAAGTACTTAATATTTACTTCTATATCGAATAATTTTATACAAAAGACAATATCTATATCAACTGACCAAAAATCAAAACAAAAAGCTATCTTGGAGGCTTACAAGAATATTGTGAGGCATATAACTTGACCTTAGGAGAATAAAAATTATTCAGAAAAACAAGAATGAGAAGCATGAAAAGCCATTTATGATTCTGTACTAAATACTACAAGAAAAAATATAAAAATTATAAGAGAAAGGAGATATCAGGATGGTGTGGAGTGGCACAAGCCAGTATCATTAGGCAGAAGGAGGACAGATTTATATAAAGTAAGAGAGAGATTAATAAAAGCATGAAATGAGCATGTTGACGAGGAAGGAGGGGAAATATCAGTTTGATCAGCCAGTCAGCCATACCTAATTAATTTTACGTATAGGAGATAAACTTAATGAATCTGATGCGATAAAAAGCCTTGGGCATAAAGTAAAGGTGTTATTAAGTGGTCTGTTGAACAGGGCTATATTTTAGAAAATTAACTTGGTGGTAGTATGCAGGATGCATGAGGGAGTGAAATGACAGTTTTCTCTTCTCACCAGGTAGGCTCCTTCCTATCAAAACCCTTAAAACTCCACTGTACCTTTATTTCTCACTCCACTCTTTCTAACTATTGTCCAACACAGGCTATTGTCCACTATTGTCCACCACTTCATCAGTCAGTCTACATTATGTTACTCCCTCTTTAACAATGCTGTTTGTTCCCAGTTTCTCTGGTTTTAAAATCCTCCTTATCCTTCAAGGTATAGCTCAGTCACTACCATCCTTATAAACACATCTTCAAACATTCTAGCCTTTCATTCTCAACAATGGTAGCACCACTCCCTCCCACGACAAAGGCTTCTGGAAACTGGGGGAAGGGTAGGTTTTAGATGAGTGAATGCAGAGTACTACAGGCATTGAATGGGCATTGCAATGCATGGTATAGACTGATACAAAGAACAACTCTCACTGTAATAGCACATAATGATCTTGTCATCTTTACCTTAGTCATTCGAATAAGTATTTGCCATGTATTTATACCTATGAGGCACCAAGAGAGACAAATGAATCACTAACATATCCTGCTTTTAGTAAGTTTAAAACTTACACTCTAACAAAGGATAATTGTCTATTTTTTAAAAATTCATTTTAATATATGGGGTTTTTGTTTGTTTTGTTTTTTGGTACCAGGGATTGAAACCAGGGGTGCTTTATGACTGAGCTACATCCATAGCCCTTTTTATTTTTTATTTTCAGAAAGGCCTCACTAAGTTGCTAGGACCTTGAACTTGTGATCCTCCTGTCTCAGCCTCCCAAGTAGCTGGGATTACAGGCATGCGGCATGAGGTTTTATAAATAAATTTTAAATTGGATTTAATCAATCAATATGAGAGCACATTATCAGTGTGAGAGATTCTAATTACAATAAGTGCTAATTCTAATAGCTAGAGTGATTTTAACTGGTTGGTTGGTTGACTCACTGAAACCTTAACTTGAAATGTGAGACATTTCTCAACATAACTCTCTATTAGAAAAAATTTAGACATAAATGCTATAATGTTAAACCATGTCCCCATTCTCAAGAGGGTCCAATATACTTTTTTCGTCAAGTTTTCAGATATACATTAAATATATAACTCTTTAATGTAGTAGATGTTCTGAGTAGACTGCAGTGGGATAGCAACCAATGAAATAGGGTCCCTGATTTTAAAGAGATATCAGGATCCTGAGTTGGGAAAGGCTACATAGCATTTAACACTGCTGTCATGATCATGGGTTTAGCTGTATACATCACACACACACACACACACACACACACACACACACACACACACACAAAGCCATTTACATGAGTGGACTCATTGTATGCTTGTTCAGTTCTACCTTTATTTATCAATCCTCCTCCACTAATTATTCCCAGTAATCAATGTAGACAGATTAGTATGCAAACTTTCACAGCTCTCTTCATGTTTATAAAATATAAAACCTACATATTCCTTTATATGATTTTGATTATTGGTATAAAGAGCTCCTACTATATATATCATTTTGGCATTTTGCTTTTCTCACCTAATTTTATATATACACAGAAATGTAATTTAATAACCTCTTTAATAGTAGTATAATATTTCATAATTTTAGAACAATTCATTTAACTATCTCTTGCTATAGCCATTTGGGTTGATTTCAAGTGTTTGTTTGATTGCTAGCTATTACAGTAACATTGAAATAAACACCCTTGTGAAGCTTTTGTACTGATGAAATTTATTCCCAGAAGTATGACTGCTGGATTGAGGTATGTATATTTTAAATTTGAATAGTTAGTTTACCTTCCCTAAAATTCACATTTCAAACATAAAGTGAGCGCACCCTTCTCATCTATTTTCATAGGCCTGACAATTAACAATGAGTATTATAATTCTTTTAATTCCAGGTGATTGCTGAATTAGAGCATATTTTTATAGGTTTACTGGCCATTTCTGAGCTATTACTTATATTTTTTTTTTGCCTGTCTTTCTCTTGGTCTATTCAACTTTTCTTTAGAACCAAGTAGAAGCTTTCTGTGTATTAGAGATAGTCACTCTGTAGTTTTGTATTTTGAAAATAATTTGTTCTCCAAATGAATATTAACTAGTGCCTGTACCTTTCAAAATATTTTAAAATTAGAAGTTTGATACATAATAGAATAGTATGTGAATTATAACTGGAGGCTTAAAGAATTATGAGTCAGTCATATAATCATCCAGGCTTAGAAAAGATTACCAGCACTCAAAAAGGCTTTTTCATGCCCCTCCCCAAAGGTAACCAACATGCTTATCATAAATTAATTTTATCTGTTTTTGAAATTCACTCGTGTACTATTTTGTTCACCACTGTTTTGTAATTAATTTGTTGTCTGAAGCTGAAGGTATATCCCAATAATAGAGTACTTGCCTAGCATGTGTGAAGCTCTGGGTTCAATTCTAAGCACAACACACACACACACACACACACACACACACACACACACACACACAATCTGTTGTCTGTAGCAGCTGATGATTAATTTTTATGGTTATATAGTATTCCACTGTATAAATACACAATCATCAAAATCCATTCTGTTGCTAACAATCATTTGAGTATTCATAGTTTTAAGCTTTTGCAAATAATGTTGCTATATAAATATTCTTATATATGTTGTCTGTTGCATGCATTTATGTGTGTGTGTGTGTAGAAGTAAACTGCTGGAACATAAAGTATACATATGTTATACTTGACTATTGTCAACAATTTACACTTCTACAAGCAGCACAAGAGAATTCCAGGTCACACTGGTACTATTGAGCTCTTTAATTTTAATCATTCTGTTGGGTGAGTGGTGGTATTCCTTTTAGTTTTCTTTTATTTTTCCTTGATTATGATGAAGTTGAGTAATTTTTTTCATGTTTATTGGTTATTTGTATGTCCTCTACGAAGTGGATGTTTAGGTCTCTTACTTTTTTTCCTACTATTTTCTTGATTTGTAAAAATATTTCTGATATTCTCTTTATGAAAAATATGTAGTAAACTTAAGAATTAATGTTTTATGGCATGAAGTTATTATTTAAATAATACTTTTCTTCTGTCCCATCAAACTTTTGCCAAAAAGATATAAAATTGTTCAACCAAATATTAATCCAGCTCTGATAAGTACTTCCTTGAACTATTTATTTATTTATTTAGGTATTGGGGATTGAACCTAGGGGCATTTTACCACTGAGGCACATCCCCAGTTCTTTTATTTTATTTTTTAATTTTGAGACAGGATCTTGCTAAGC